AGCAGAAACCTGGAGACTTACAAAGTGGGTTCAGCTTAAATTGAGGACGACGCAGCGAGCAATGGAAAGAAAAATGGTAGGTGTAACCTTAAGAGACAAGGAGAGAGCAGAGTGGATTAGGGAACAAACGGGGGTTAAGGATATCATAGCTGAAATCAAGAAGAAGAAATGGACATGGGCAGGGCATGTAGCGCGTAGACAGGATAACCGCTGGACCTAAAGGGTAACTGACTGGATTCCCAGAGAAGGGAAGCGGGTTAGGGGGAGACAGAAGGTTAGGTGGGCAGATGAGATTAAGAAGTTTGCGGGTATAAATTGGAAGCAGCAAGCACAGGACCGGGTTAACTGGCGGAACATGGGAGAGGCCTTTGTCCTGCAGTGGACGTAGTCAGGCTGATGATGATGATGATGATGATGAAACCTCCTCACAGTATATATATATACGTAGATTGTAAAGAGTCTGGCTTCGGTTGCCGTAGAATTAAGGAAAAAGAAGTATACGCCTCTAAACAACTGTTTATTGGTGACGTTTTGATCGGAGACCAATGTTCATCAGACGAAATTCAGTAGGCTCCGACGCGTTTTTATGCCAACTTCCACCCGAGAGAGAGCGAGAGAAAAAAAAGGAAAAAAAGAAAAAAAGAAAAAAAGAAAGCGAGAGAAAAAGAAAAATCTACATATACCAGTGGCCCACTACCTATCATGCACTGATAAGCAGCCGAACGGCCAGGTGTGCGTACTACGCATAGCACGTGCATTAAAAAAAGAAAAAAAGAAAAAAAGAAAGCGAGAGAAAAAGAAAAATCTACATATACCAGTGGCCCACTACCTATCATGCACTGATAAGCAGCCGAACGGCCAGGTGTGCGTACTACGCATAGCACGTGCATTAAAAAAAGAAAAAAAGAAAAAAAAGAAAAAGAAAGAAAAAAACAAAAAAAGCGCCTTGGTCAGTGGCAATACCACCCATTATACACTGATAAGTAGTCAAACGACCATGTTTGCGTACTATTAATGGCAGGTGCATTTTGTAAAAAAAAACGAGTGGTAAACAAGATACAATCATGGCAGGTTGTTTGGTCCAGGGGGCTAAATTAAGCAAATTCCTGTGATGAAAAGTTTGACTCCTCAGGTTCACCTCTCATCAGCTTTTCCGGTAGCTTGTAAAGAATACCACAGTACATTCGTTGCGATCATTGTCGCTGTCGCATTCCACCTGCTCTCCCCCTCCATAGTTGCTCTTGAAGCCTGGTGAGGAGGGCTACGGCAGAACAATGTGATAAATTAAAAAAAAGAAAAAAAAAGAAAAAAAGAAAAAAAGGAGAAAAAGAAAATATGAGAGAAGTTCTTCTCTCCTTTTTTTCCTTTTTTCTCTTTCTTCTTTTGCTTAATTTGCTTAATTTAGCCCCCTGGACCAAAAAGCTTGCCATGATTGTATCTTGTTTACCAATCGTTTTCTTACTTTTATTTTACTTTTATTTTTACTTCTATTTTTTTTCGCTTTCTTTTTTTTTCTTTTTTTCTTGTTCTTTCGCTATCTCTCGGCTGGAAGTTGGCATAAAAACGCGTCGGAGCCTACTAAATTTCGTCTGATGAAGATCGGTCTCCGATCAAACCGTCACCAATAAACAGTTTTTTAGAGGCGTATAGTTAGTTTTTCTATATATATATATATATATATATATATATATATATATATATATATATATATATATATATATATATATATATATATATATATATATATATATATATATATATATATAGGCAGGCATGGTGGTTGAGTGGCCGTAGCGTTGCATATAGTCTAGTAGATCCTCCGTGAGCGGTCACAACGTGATGTCTTGTATGTAAGGCGATGCGAGAAACAGACAAAGCAACCAGCACGCAATCCAAGTTTTCGATTAACATACGAGGAAACCTAACATGCGATTCCTCTAATGTGGTGTACCTACTCGAATGCAACGTGTGTGGTATGCAGTACATCGGACAAACAGAAACACCATTTAGGATTCGCTTCAATAATCACAGAGCCCATGCGAAATCAGCCCCAAGTCTACCTCTATCAAAACATCTCAATCTTCCCGACCATGCATTCGACAAACTATCAGTAACGCTCTTAGAGACGGGATTTAAATCAAATCGAGAACGTGAACAACGAGAGTCATACCTTATCCACCGATTTAACACGCTCGATAGAGGAATAAATGAGAATCCTGGTACACTTGCAGCAATTAAAGCATTAGAAAACAATAACGGCAACAATGAAAATAGTAACTGAGTTCACGGCACTGCAGCTGCGAAGGGCACTGGACAACCTAAAACAATTCCAAGTGTAACTACTCTTCCTAAGTGCAGCTGTCGTCTGTTTTGTTTTATTTTACTACCCAATCAATTGTGTCATGCACGACATGCCCAGCAGCAACCATGTGCACAGCCAGGAGGCCCCCACGACACGCGTAATTTAGAAGCGGGCCAGGAATTCGCATTGCACGCGCTTGCACAGCCTACCGCAATACGGGGCACCCCTATTTTTACGACGAAATGTTGACAGGGCGCGGAGTAGTTAAAGGCTTAGAACTTCCTAAAATGCCCGCTGACCAGCCTCTGCCACAATACGCGGCCCCCGTCCTTCTACGACGAATTGTTTACGGGACCCCGAGTAGTTAAAGGCTTAGGACTTCCTGAAAAGCTCTTTTTTGCCCCACACCGAACCGCCAGTGCCAGGAAGGGCCGTCTGATCGGGAGGAATGCGCTAGTGAACGGAAACATACACAGACCGCTGACATCAGAAAGGTGAAGGGGAGAGGGGGGAGAGAAATGGGGGGAAGTGGAGGGAAAAGTGGAAGGGGGCACCCCAAGGGCGTCCACCGTATATTATTTTTCTCTTTTTTCTTTTTTTTCTTTCCTTTTCTTTTCTTTTTTTCTTTCCTTTTTTTCGTCTTTCCTTGCCCTCTGATTTGAGATTGTATAAAGCTGAGCACCGACAAACTGTATCTTTATTCCTGATGAAGGCCAGACTCTAGGCCGAAACGTCGAAATAAACCACGTTGTGACCGCTCACGGAGGATCTACTAGAATATATATATATATATATATATATATATATATATATATATATATATATATATAATATTCCGGTGGTATCTCTCTCTCTCTCTCTATATATATATATATATATATATGTAGAGAGAGAGAGAGAGAGAAAATAATAACAAAGCAGTCAAGGCTTATACCAAAACAATTTGTCTATAGTCCTCAATTCTTGTTTGTTGGTGGTTCCTTGGGGACCCACGGGGACGTGGTGGCCCACCAGAAAAGCTTCATTGTCAAACACTTACACCCTATTACTTCTGCCATCAACGGGAACACTAAAAATAGCACCATTCACGGGAGCAGACCGCCACCACCCGCTCCAACGCTTTTTAAATGGAGGTTTTATGTGATGCTTAGATGCCATTCATGCTGCAATTATAGTATAGGGTTCAAGATGTAGATGAAGCAGAATGCTTTTAGAGCCAAGATGACGCTGCAGTTATGTTGTAGTTGTCGGTGAATTTCGCGGTACAGGAACATGGGAGTCATGCAAATGTGCTGTTGCGGGTCTTTCGTCACCTGATATTAGCGGGTGCTTTGACCATGGTTCCTCCGGAACTACCATCGCTTGAGAGGCGCTTCATATGCGACTATCGTCAAAGCTGTATCGCTGGCATCCCTTTCAAGAGAGAATTTTCAGTGGAGGTCCAAGACTGTGTGTGCTTTCCGGACCAAGAGCTGGCTTTTTCACCCTCCCATGCCTTTCGAACTAGAATTTTAGAGCTAGAGCTCTTTTCTATTGGCAAACATTAAGCTTGTTTAGTTATGGCGCTCTTTAATCAACTTCTGAAGCACGGCTTTTGAACAGTCTCAGTGAAAAAGTTTGCAACGGGAATACAGAAGTAGTGCAAAGAAGCCATCATGTTCCTTTCCCGTCTTCGTGTTCCGAGCTCTGCATTATCAACAAAATGATCAGCAAAGTTATGCAAAAACTCGTCCAGCAAAAAGTTCTTCCGTTGGCATGCAACCTTGCAACACTTTTCCACAGTTGCTCTCAATGCGTGAACTCAGAATGAATCCCATGACAGGTCGTAACGCCATACAGGTGACTCAAAGTCTACACGTAAACCTCGAAAAGAAAAATAACTTTTATGAAACAGTTTATAGGACTTGCGCAATAAAAACGCAAAGTGTTTAATTTGGGAAGTGATAATATTGTACCACAAGAGCTGTAAGAGGTAAACTCTTATGAATGCACAAGCCATAGCCCACCGTTTCTGGTCTCAGCAGCAAGGCGCCAGTTACCACTAGCCGTGTGCCTTAGCCGCTAAACCACCGCTGCAGTGTGATGGACACAAAATTGGCACTTTCAATTTCGGTTTCTTAGGTAATTTGCGGTCCAACTTTTTTTCTTGTGTCTTTTGAAATAAACTGTGTAGAAGGATGCTTTATACGCAAATATACAAAAAAGAATTGGGCATTTAACACAACTAAAAGTCTGAAAACGGCACTTTAGAAGAAAATTCACTTTTTCCACATGGCCTCATATATCTTAAAGCCGCGCCAATTTATGGACTAAGCAGCCAACATGCTTTTTCATCTTTTACTCGAAATGCCAGAACGCATCTTAGACACCTTCTTACTGACTCCTTCCACATGACATGTATTTCGACATTATTGGAGATCTGCTGTTATGCTATGCCAAATGAAATTTGTAGTATATCATCTGTGCTCTGAAAAATAATGCATTTTTGTTGTTGCCCCAATTAGGCTACGTATTTCTTGAACTTTTGTTGGTTTGGTATTAATTGCAGAGCATGTGCAACTCCCCGATAAAACTAGACCAATCACTGCGAGTGTAGGCCACACGTTGTTTTTCAAGTGCCGTACTGTGTTTTTCTTTCGGTCACACCAATCAACAACTTGTTATTAAGTATGTGTGAATCTTGGCCGACATCACGCAGGTCCGCTGATACAGATTGGTGCGAAGGAACAGTATTTGATGTTTCGTCAGACATGGAATTACATGCTGCTGACCGAATTGATAGAGTTAAAGAGTAAGTACCTCTGTATACACTTTCACAACAAAAAAGACAAGACGTTCTAAATTGTCTATAGCGCAAGATGAAAAATGTGTTGAGTTTCTGCCCAAAATGTCCTCGTAGTTAAAATTTGAAAATGACTTGGCGAAGGACACTTTCAAGGAACCTAGCAAATCGTGTCTCCTTTGGGTAAACTTCGGGAAAAATTCGTACTGCTCGTTGTGCATGTTATATTTTTTTTTCTTTATGTGTCACCTACAATGGTATCAGCTGCATAATTTGTTTCAGTGTAATAGTCATTGTAGCACTCTGCTGCTGACCCGAATGTCGTAGAAGGTAGCCGTGGTGGTCACATTTTGCATCAGACATCTAAAATGCATTTTGACTTACTTTTCTACCAAGGTAATAAATAGGGCAGTTGAAAAGTTGTAATGCATAGCTATGGATGAAATATAAGTAAGAAAATATATCCCCATTGAGCTAAAAATGAGGTCAGCAGCCTAAACGTGTGGCATGGTAACTCGAACAGTCTGTGTGACATTTCCTGGAAAAGTAAGTAGTCTGTCGATACTTCCCAACACAGTGGTTCTCTAACTTTTGTGACGGGGTAAATGCAGTTAAGAGTGCACCCTTCTCGTGGAGATGCACTTGAAAATCGAAATATTGTACGATATGCAGTGGAATAATGATAAATTATGAAGGCGTAAAGGAAAGTGCGTAGGCACCCGCAAGACGCGGCCTCGCGTTGGGCAAAAATACCCGTATTGACACCATAACTAAACCTATAATATGACGTACAAATAAGGGTAATAATCTATCTTGGGCATGTGACATATGCGGTCACTACCACGGAGGAAGGAGAGGTAGGGAGAGGCCCTGACGTCACTCGTTGTGAAGCCGCGATGAAGCCGGAAGTCGGCCATATTGACTAGGCGAATTCTCCTCTCTTGTTTACATCCGAATGTAAAGCAGAAGGCGCGACTCTCTCTGCGGCTTGGAATGCACGTGGGCTGCGCAGAGCGTGCGTCGTGACGATCCGAAACTAATGGAACTGGGCTCATAACTCTGAGCCAGCGGGACACCTTCAGCGAAATCGCTTCGTCCAAGTAATAACAGGGAGTACCAGCTCGCCGACAACGAAGCAACTACGAGAGAACGCGCGCTAGATGCACTGACAACGGCGAGTGCTTTCACGTCATTAATTCAGCAACTGTACAGACAACACGATCGGTCGTGCACCTTCTACGGTTGCATTCCGCCACGCGGCGGATGCAGCGTCCTGCCATTGTGTCCCGTGTTCCGCGTGAAACTCACCGGCGTCAGCATTCTGCAACGGTGGTGACTCTGAGCACGGTGCTAATGACAGTAGAACGTGGTTGCTGTTACGTTGAGATTACATGCAATGCTAGTAGAGAGTGTACCAAGCGGAACAGAAAAGGCGTTTTAATACGCACATGCAAGTTGCTACTGTACATACACAACACGAAACTACGTATGTGCACATAGTGCTCACGGCGTCTTGCAGGGCTACACAGCGTCGTCCGTTGTCACAAGCAGGAGCACTGCTCAACCGTCACTGACCTGCAAGGCGTTCGTCTTCATTCAGCTTCGTCATGGTGCCCAACGCAATTTCGCTCAACACCAACTGCTTCATCCGCGTCATCCGCCGCACGACACATGGATATGCACTTGTTCTACGCACTGTTGAAACACCGTGATGGACAAAGGGATTTGTAAACGTTGCTAAGAGTAATGTAACAGCCAGGAGAACACTGCGTAACCAATAACGCGGTGCGGAGCACAGATATATTCCGCCACGGCTCAGCACGAGACCTGGGGAGGCACACATTCCGCCGCCAGCCGCGGCCGCTCACTGCTAGACCAGCTCCACTGCGCAACACGTAACCATAGCAACGCCGCCATTGTGCCTAGTGAATATGGCCGCCATGATGTCATTTCCGCCACACTTTTTACGCCCTGCGCAGGCTGGCAATGCCCTTTCCTTACCTTTTTCCTTCCTCCGTGGGTCACAACAGATTAAGAGCTCAGATACATGTTTTCAATGCTTCAGCCATTACATGTACTGCTTAGAGAAAGGATTGCGAACGCTTGTGCTGTAAGGGTGCGCAGAAAAATACCAGGCAGTGCGATGGTTATTCTCGTGTTGTTTGTGTGACCCAATTTTTAGGTTTAAATGTCTGTACACTTTGGCCATATTCGAAGAGACATTAAGTGATTAAACAGTTCCTCATTCCTTTAAGGGGCTGGAGAAATGAACAAAGTTTTTTATAAAAGCTGTAGATGCTAATTTCTGTTTATGTCAAACTGAGTCATCAGGTCGGCAAGATAAAAAATAGCAAAACAATATTAAAAATAGCAAAAAGCAGCCAACCAGATCCAGTGGCAGTAAAACTCACCATAAGTAGTCATGCAAGTTTGATAACCGCTTTCACAATTCTATAGAATTTATATATCAAGCAAAATGCTTTGCATAAAACTAAATATGTGGGGCACAAGCAAATTCACAATTATTCGCACAGCATTTCACGCATTTTTTATGTTACCAATCGGTCCACTGCATGATCACGTAGTGTTTGCGTTATGCAAAAACAATTTTCACGCAGCTTCCATGACTTTTCTTGAAAATACTAGAGATTGCGACAATGAAAATGAGTCAGCAGGATGATTAGCCGGCTCACGATTACAACTGCTAACATTGAAGCACAAATTTCAGCCACTTTCACAATTATTCCTTCCTTGATGTATGCAGAGTCACCTTCCCTACCTAAGCCAAGATAATGTTACAAGCTGTACGTAAAATGTCCTGAAACATTTATAGCTTTGGGGACGATTTGTTAGGATATTCTCAAGGAAGCACTAACGGAAATTCGCAAATTACCGCATACCATGGGAATCAGTATCATGCAGGTGTTGGAGGAAGTTAAATGCGGTGCAGTTGTCTTTTTTTTTTTTGAGGCAAGCGTTTCGAAATGAAGTTGAACATGTGTGCAAATGTCACATGTATAGGCTTGTTTTTCCAACAGTCACACAAATTTTTATATAACCATGTAGTTCTTCACAGGGGCGTAACGGTGCCAATAACAACATCGGTATTACCAACACCATAAGCAGTAAGCAGAAATTTAGCGCTAATGGTTGCGAAGATGGTAGCCCTGGCAAGTGCTACGTAGACCAACTTCAGTGGATGGCGCTCACATACAATTTACGCTAACCCAACGTGAGGCTTGTGTAGTACGAAGGTAATGATAGAACACTGGAACACATAAAGCATTGAAGCATTGTATTACGTGATGTAGTACTGAAACATCTCAATAGTGTTAGGTAAAATTATATGGGCAGCACTGCAACCAGAAATGACTTTTCATGAACATAATGCCTGCATAGCGTATTTCTCTGAGTTCCGAGACGTCACCTTACCGGGTGGTAGGGTACATTATAGTCATGCAATAATATTTCTGCTGGGGCCATAACAGATATCCTTTGCATTCATCGGAATAACGCTGCTGATGTCAGGTTTTTTTCCTTAACGCTCTCACTTTTAAATTACCAATGCCGGTGCTCACTATTCTTCGGTAGATATAAACTTTTGAACACCTATGGCGCATACCCGCATACAACGGCCCGGGGCACGTGCCACACGTGTCTAGAGGAAAAGGTCTGACATCGTACGCGACCGGGTTTTCATATTACTCAAGTCATCACATGACTGTCATAATCATCACGCCCCCTTACTCTCGCATACTAATTTTGGTCAATCCTAGGTTTCGGACGTGAACAGAGAGACAGACAGAAAGACATACACACACACATGCAGACACACACACACATAGAGAAATAAATAAATAATTAAATGGATAGATAGATAGATAGATAGATAGATAGATAGATAGATAGATAGATAGATAGATAGATAGATAGATAGATAGATAGATAGATAGATAGATAGATAGATAGATAGATAGATATGGTTGCCGAAGTTTGTTGAGAAACGCTTTGCATTTAACATCGTGACACAAGAGGCAAAGTTGGCAACACAAGCGCTTTTTAACAATTAGTAGTGAGCGCTGTGAATGCCGCATTTGCGTCTCGTGCACTGGTATTTCGGAGCTTACTATGAGTGGCGGATGCCCTATTTCTGATGTCAATGAGTGTGGAGTGGCCCAGGATATCGTGCGCTTTGACTTCTGCCACCTAAAATTGTGGTTTAAAACCGCGTCCAGTAATGAATGGTACGCCAGATGTGCCTCATTCAACAGTTATGTCAGAGACTATGCCAGGTTATACCCATTGTCAGCAACATAATTGCGTGCTTAAACCATTACATAGGTATAAAGGATGTCGTATTGCAGAGCTGCGAAGATTTTCATTATCTGGTAATTCTTAAGGTGCACTGACATCGCATAATACATGAACATTTACCATTTTTCGTCAATTAAAATGGGACTTCGACCTTCGGGTGAGCAACAGAGTACCCTAGCCACGTTTCGGCCGAGGCAGGCAGCCAGGAGTTCAAAATGATTTCGTTTCTGTTCCCACGAGGCCATTCTTATTTCAATTTAAAAGACATAAATAAAGGCTAAAGTAAATTATCTTTCTATATTTTAGTATGATCACCACCATTAAGCAATATCCCTGCATTCCGAATAGTAAAACTATTTGGACTGCCTGTTATTTCAAACGTATACTTAAGACTACTGACTGCGACATCACAAGGTATTGATAGCTTCTTGAATTGAAGATACGAAAAGTTGTGCAAAAAGCAGCAAAGTAGGAAAAGTGATTTTATGCTGCCATTGTCGTAGAAAAGTAGTAAAAGGGGCACAAAATGGCAAAACCTGGCAGTCCTGGTTGCGAATATGGCTTTGCCAAACTCTGAAGCTGTTTGTCGGATACCTGTCTTTCAATTTTTTTTCCTTTTTTTAGCCATGGAAGAGTCTTGTTCACGTTTACAGTAAACTGCGCAGAGAACATTCGTAATATATGACAAAAAGTGAGCGGAGCTTTCCTGTTCTGAGCAAGCTTTCTTTTTATGCTTATGTATGTAGGCATTTACGGAAGCCAAATTAAATAGAAATTTTAAGTCTACACACTTCCGCCCTCCTCAAACGAACGTTATAGAGTCCGCAGGCAGCCATAGGAGTGTACAGTGGAGCTAGATTTGAAGGTTTTATTGCCAGAAACGACCAGAAAATACAAAAACTCCCCGTTCTATGCAGAATGCTTACTTCATAGGGAGAGAGGCTTGTATTACACAAGCGTCACTCACTTCTTCTTGTTCCTGAAGCTGCGGTCACTCCCATCTAAAGAAGGGCTTTCATAGGAGCAGTGCGAAGCACCGGTTCCTTTTAACACATCTTTACCAGCAATTTACCAATCGCCAGCGGCGATTACAACCCACGAAAAACACACTTGATCGCAACAAATTGACGGCTTAAAATTGAGAGACAGCTATAGTTCAGAGTTCGATGTATGGCTTGATTGTTTAGGCATGTTTATTATTTATTTGTTTTATATATCAAGTTATTTATTTATTGTACAGTTAAGACCTTTCAGCATTACAGAGGGCGCGGGTTACAGGGAAAAAGAGACCACAGTACTGATTAAAGAATACTATTCATAATTAGTACAATGTTCGCTAATCATACAATGTCAGCCGAGTATGACGAAGACCGCATTCAACGAAAACATAAATATTTCACAAATGCGTAAATTTTGTTGCTTATACAGTATAAGTTGGGTAGGTGAAATACAGTGTTGTATGAAAAACTGCAGGTTTATTTGAAATGAGATTATGAGATTGACAGGTGCAGAAATAATAGTATGCCATAAAAATTGTTAAGGTGACATTAGTATGTAAAACAATTATTACTGTACAATGTTAAGTAATGCTTTCCGAAAGTTCTCGTTGTTAATAATGCTGACAATATCAGCCAGGAGGTCATTCCAGTCATGCGATGTACGAGGTATCAATGATTTTGAAACACATGTGGTGTTACATGCACGAATTCTGACTTTGTGTTAATGATCCACGCGGTGAGATAATTAATAAGGTTGTGACATGAATTTCGGATGTAATGCAGGATGGTGATACAACTTATGAAGAATGATAAGCGAGAAATCTTACGTCGTGAAGCTAAGTGATTCGAGATGCAGTTGTGATTTTATTATAGATGCGCTGGATGTTCGGTTGTAGTCACATAGAGTAAATCTACAAGAGTTATTTTGGATTAGTTCATTAGATTTAATAAGGTCTGGGTGATAAACGTCCCGTATAGTTAAAGCGTATTCTAGTTTTTGTCATATCAATATATTATAAAGTAGTATCTTTAATAATGATGGAGCTCGAGAAAAGTTACGGCGCAAGTAACCCAACAAACGATTGCCTTGATTAGTTATGTATTCGATATGTGTATTTCATGTTAAGTTAGATGTTTACCGCACACCCAAGTATTTATATGCATTCGTAGTTTCTCATGAAATGTTGCTCCGATGGTATACGGGCAGGCTACTGAGCAATCTAAATATTCTAGTATATATACACTTGTTCATGTTAAGCCCCATTCGCCAAAGATGACACCAATTGCAAACGTTATTTAGAACTAATTTAGGAGTAGATAAATCACGCGGTGCAGTTATTTCTCTAAAAAATACCCAACTATCGGCAAACACGTGTGTATTAGAAGTATTGAAGTAAGGTCAATAATGTAGACAAAGAATAAAATAGGCCACAGGACCGAACCTTGGGGCACTCAGGACTGAAATATGTTAAGTGGCGAGTCATGATCATTAGCTGCTATGAACTGGAAACGATTAACAAGAAAAGACTCAACCCATTTTACAAGATTACGATAAAGATTTAGCGTGTTTAGTTTATGAATTAAAAGTTTATGGCTTACCTTATCAAACGCTTTTGAAAAGTATTAAAAATGTCATCAGCAAGGGATGAGTGGCGCAGTACCTCGTGTAATTTGTGAGTGAAGGACAGTAATTGAGACTCACAAGAAAAGGTTTTCTGAAAGCCGTGTTGTGAATGCGTAGAAAATGAGTTGGATTCAAAAAATTCATCAGAATAGTAAAAATAACATGTTCAAACAATTTACAGCAGGTGCTAGTTAATGATATAGGACGATAATTTGTAGGTGAGGTTTTGCTTCCATACTTATGTATAGGAATAGCTTTTGAACTTTTCCATACAAGTGGAAGGGTGGGTGCGTCGTGTGATTGCTGGAAAATTTTAGTCAGTACGATAGAGGTATACCAGGAGGTGTTTTTAAGTAATTTGAAACAGATATCACATCCAGGAGGAAAAATGCAATTTCAGTGAATCTATTAGCCGAAGTACACCACCAACCTCAATAATTATCGAAGACATCGGTAAATAGTCATAACTTTTCAGTGTAGGAAGAGTAATATCGGTAGTTCTCGAGACGTTCATCACGAAAACATCGTTCAACAGAGTTGCAGAATGGTTTACTTAAGCAGGGTTGCCGGACGAATCGTTCAGGTTGATAGAGCTATCGGCAAGAGAATGAATAGTACGCTAGAATGTTTTCGCGTTGGTTGTTAGCATTGATGGTAATGTCTATAACAAAAGTATGTCTTTAGCGTGTTTGAGGGCGGCTACATTGACGTTTGATACATGCGTGTATAGTTCGTAACGAGAGTCCATGGGTGATTGCTTCGCCAAACGATAAAAACGTTTCTTTTTTTGTTTGACAATCGTTTCAATGTTCTATTGTACTTGGGCGACGTGAATTACATGCTTCGGCAAGGGTTGGATTGTATTTGTTTTTTAGACGCTGTACTTCAGCCGCGAACACGTTTCTAACTGCATAGTACGTTCATCAAAGTCCATAGAAAATTTGTTCCTAAAGTCACACAGATCAATATTTATTTTTTCGAAGTTCACTTTTCTGTAAATTCTGATAACTGTTTTTTTGTTTTTCAGAAGTTTTTCAAAAGTAACATTAAGAGGGAAGTTATTATCAAGTGAACACTAATACATGGTAAATAATAAATATCCCATGCATGTTCACGACAGTTCATTAGGATCAAATCAAGAGCGTTAGAAGCAATCGGTGTAATTCTCGTGGCGCGCGTTACTAATCGGCACAGGAAGAAAGTAGAGCAAAAACCCAATAATTCTTGTGAGTCAAAAAATGATGAGATAGGTTGGTTATCTGCTCACGTATTGTTAGGAAATTGAAGTCGCCGAGCAGAAAAAGGGGCATGGAGTGAAGTTTGTGGTAATGCTTGAAGCTACGTCATGTAAATAGTGAATAAATGAAGGTGGAAATGTATGTAGACAATACTAAAACCCCTTATGTTATTCTTTGGTTGTTAAGCGTGACTATGGCCCAAACTGTTTCCAAGTTTGAAGTAAGGTAAATGCTTGATTATGGGATATCTTTTGAGAAAGCAAGAAGTGCACCGCATCCTCGACGCTCTTTCCGATCACAACGATATATAAATATCGTTTGCTGCTCTCAAAAAAGTTCCGAGTCAAGTACACCGTCCGATAGCCACGTTTCCGTAGAAGCCATACGTCGGCTGAGCAGGCGTCTATCATGAGTTCCAGCCAGTCGCAATTCTTAAGAATACTTCTGATGTTCGTATAGAGAACATTGGCTCTTCAGTTTTCATTCACGCAACTACCCTTCACGCACCCCTATGTAGAAACGCGTTGTGGAGCAGCCGGCTTGTTGTTAGAGCGTCTGCTACGGTCATGAATTTCCCGAACGCAGTCAGAGTTAGCATGGTAAATGTAAAACTTGTTGTTCATGGGCAATTTTTTGTAGGTAATTTTGAACTGCGGTTTGTCTGGAAGCAAATTCGTGAACTCGAAAAGTTTTTATGAGCCAAGCGGGTAGCGGGAGAAAAGTCTTCACTAATACTGATTTTTCGGGGCTTTATCTGCCCGCGTGCTGCAAGTATTTTTTACTTTCATTTTGTAATTAGCAAACCTGGCAGTTAAAGGACGTTGTTAGTCAGCTGTGTAAAGGCCAAGCCGGTGCACTCGCTGAATGCCATCAATACTGATCAAGCCAAGTGCGGCCCTTAGAACAGTGATTAGCTTTTTTGGTCTGCTGCCATGCTTCCTTCGAGTCGGGCAAGCTAAAAATATCAAGTTATCACGGCGGAATTTGTCTTCTAAATCATGGGGACGTAGTACTAATGGGTTATTGTGAGCAGTAAGTTCGACTACGGTGTCCTGTACACATAACAAGTCGGTACTACAACGCTTCAGGGTTTCGCTTTTTTCCTCAAGGTCATCCAGCCTCATTCGGATATTTCTGTGCTCTGTCTGTATATTCATTTGTCTTTATTGGATGACCTTCACATCTGTTGCTAGTTCAGTTTGGCATTTCGAGGACTGAAGAGAACGGCCCTGAATATCTTTAGGAAGCGTAAACATCACCTCCATTTGGTCTGCAGAATTATCGGGTAAGTCCTGGAGCCCTTGCAGACCAAGTGTACGAGGGTTAGGCCCAGGGTTATGTTCAGCGTCACCGGCACAAAGCAGTAAAATAGCCATTGAGTAGCACTGGCTTAGAGATTCACGCATCACTCGTGGGCACGGGAAAATAATCAGAAAAAGTTCATCAGATTTTTTAGAATATGGCGAGATTTGTGTACGCACCTGCACAGCAAAAACGTGTCAGTTAAGCACAACGCTGTCAATGCTGTTCCCGTGCGCACTGAAGACGGTGTCGATGTGCAGGCTGTTTAAGTACGTCAGTGCAGTTGATGACGCTGATGCTGGTGCTGGGCAGCCAGGCGAGAGTTTGACAACGGAACTTGAATCCAAGAAGTTGCTGATATCCAAAGAATGGGCGTTTTTGTACGAGCCATTGTCAAAGCTGAAGCTTCAAAATGGCGGGACTGGGCTTGTGTTGAGATCAGGGACGGATAATAGCCAAGCAAGAACGAGTGATAGCGTCGCCTGCATTGCGAAAACGTGTCGGTTAAGCACAACGCTTTCAATGCTGCTTCCGTGCCCACAGTCAGTGAGACAGAAAATGAGCAATCTTGATTTTTACTCTTTTGAAGTGTGCCACGAGGCTTCTGGTACCATCGGCAGGCCTGACACTCACGCGATAATTAACATAGCACGTGTGAGTGTACTTGTACGTTCGTATTCTCGAGATCCTTTTTTTCATTCGTAGTTGTCGAGAAACGTGCTAAAAATGACTCCAATATTCTTTTAATGAGCGCCCTATATCGAGGGAACTGTGGCCACTTTCTGGATTTATCACCGACGTGTTCATTTTACACTAAGAAACCAGAAATAAGTGTCGCTCACTACCTCATAATAAAATACAGCTGGTTGGCTTGATTTTCATGCGAAGCGGTGTTCTTAATTGTACTATACTACGCACTCTTGAGCGCATTGTGTACCACTGTCAAGTGCCCGTTACGTCATAACTACTCCTCTTGCGACTGAGCAAAGGAATGATTAGTTATTCACGAGTACTTGACAATTGCACTTCCAGTAGGCATTCTAGATTAGTTTGAATCAGCCAATTATACGTGAACAGCCGTTTATTGCATTAGGCATGCACGCTGGAGCGAACCTAGAAAGCGATGCACGATGATGCAGCTCAAATGCCCTCTGTGCTTTTTACAACCCTTTGCTGGTCTAATAAGTTGAGATCACCTTCATCTAAACGTGGTTATCACTAAGACCATCTCCGGAATCAGAGTAAGGTTGAGTTTCTGACGCTGATGACTTGTGAGTTGAGTCATCATCATGATGATTACTCAACTATGGCTCATACCTACTCAAGGAGATTGACCAAGGGTTCATTACATGAAATTTTCAGCCTTTAGAGTCTTAGACATAATTCCTCGTCTTCAGCAACGGCATTCAAAAATTGCATAATATTTCTTGCAATCGTTTAGCGGGTGACAGGCTTCCCCAAAAAATGACGAAGTAAGGCGCAGTGAAGGGCTGTCTACTACATCCTATTTTCGAGATTTTGAAACTTTGTTTGCTAAGCTACCCGATTCTTGACTCATTCTTTAGGGTGGCTGTGAGCCAGAAGCTCAGGCTATACATCTACATCTAGAAAAACCGCCAGGCCTGCGAAGAATGCGCAGCATTGTCACTGCGGAAGCGGCAAGAGCCGCCTTTCCGTGCCTTTTTCAACTCTTTGGTTAGCTGCTGCAAGCACAATTATGGAGTACTCACTACGAAATTTATCCTTGTAGGGTAGACAGGCACTCACTATGCTATCCATAGTCATTTATCTGAGAAGCTTGGTACCCACTACACACTTGCAAGGAACATTGGGCATTTGTTGTCCTGTAGCTGACGACAATAAAGAAATATGCCAAAGCTTTTCAATCCCGACAAGCCTTCAGAGTGGGTATGCGCCACGGTTATTAGTTGAACTAGATCAAAATTTTGTAAAGTGTTTGACGACCCACTTGTGTCGTCATTCGAATAATGTGGCACCTGGTTGTTCTTTTGCTGTTTTTAAACACTTGATTGCTCATAACATAATTCCTAGCCCGAAGACTGCCCAAGGCCAGTTAGCAAAGCTGTTTCTAGCACCGACGTGGCTCTATCATAAATTATTGGGCTGGCACGCCAAACGCCCTGTTTATATCTGATCGGTCTTTGGCGTTTTTATTTTTTGGGTTTCTTTTTCTTATTGTTGGATTGTACATAGAAACATCGTATAATAAGCGGAGGCATCCTTTTTATTCTATCTTCTTTCTCCATGTAGCCGACCGCCGAGCGCATGCCATCGCACAGCCCTGTAGATTGTAGCAACGCCCTAAATCACATATTTCCTCTTGCAGAAAAACATCAAAATAAGAACACAAGGACGTTTTTTGTTTACTTTCCTAACGAAGTGCTTCAAATTTCTTCGGGGCCTTTTTTTGCACTTGCTTCTACTTATGGGCGCTTAAATCCCGAGAGTTTGGTTGATTGATTGATATGTGGATTTTAACGTCCCAAAACCACAATATGTGTATGACAGACGCCGCAGTGGAGGCCTCCGGAAATTTTGACCACCCGTGGTTCTTCAACGTGCATCTAAATCTGCGCACACGGGCCTGCAGCATTTTCGCCTCCATCGCAACTGCAGCCGCCGCTGCCGGGATTCAATCTCGTGACCTGCGGGACAGCCGCCGAGTACCTTAACCACTAAACCACTGTGGTGGTGCCTGATAGACTGGTTGGAACTAGCGTGCCCTCTGGTACAGTTGATCCAGGGTCTGCTTTTTCATGGTCAACCACTCTTCACGTGTCAGGTTGTGGTGCTCTAGATGATTAGATACAGGTGACCAGTTCACAAGAGAAGAGGTGAGAGGTTGCTGTGGACTAGATGACTGAGTAGATGCGGTGACCAGTCCATAACAGTAGAAGTGCCCGAATCGATTTTATTGACTGCTCCTGGCTGAACTGTGACTAACCTTATTGCGTTGCACACATTCATCGTCTAAAAGGCAGGAGGCTGGTCCACGTTTTCTAATGATCTTTTTGGGCGGGGAGAATTATGGAAACAGCTTTCCGTGAACGGCAGTCGTCTTAACACGCACCTACTCACCTATGACGAAGTTGGGCTTCTTGGTTCCTCGATTTTTATGCGTGTAGCTCTTCCAGGTCTTTTTCTTCTTTTTACGTACTCTCGCAACTCCTCAAACGCCCTTGACGGGTCCGTGATGAAGCAACTGTCAGACAATCCCACCCTGTAAAGTCTGGTTAGAGGTTGGCGTCGATGAAGGAGAACTACGGGTGTCGCACCAGTAGGCGCGTAAGGTGTACAGCGATATACTTGTAGGTAATCAAGCATGGCTGTTTAAATATCACGGCGTTAAAACAGAGCTAGTTGAATATACGACTTCAGCACCCTAATCAATATTTTGACCAAGCCATTAGCAAGCAGGTATTACACAAAAAAGTTGTAATGCGTTAAACCACGCTCTGTGAGAAATTCGTCGAAGCTTGCTAA